CACCTTAGGGACGTACGTGTTTCGGAGGACCCGTTCCAAGGCCTGTTGGGCCTCTGCACATGCAGGAGAGCAGGAGGGGATGTGATCTCCCACTGGCGAGGTGCCTTTGCAGCCTTAGGGGTACCACCTGCTGCCAAGGCTGATAATGGCCCTGGCTACGTGGCCCAGTGTCCCCAAAGCCTTTTGCAGTCCTGGGGTGCTCACACGTCACTGGTATTTCACATTCTCTGACTGCCCAAGCTACTGTAGAACACTTTCATTCCACACCCAAGGCCTTTCTTCAAAAACAGAAAGGGGGGAGGATGGGTGAGACCCCACAGGGCAGAATTTGGAAAGCTGTGTTTACACTGAATCATCTTCCTACTCCTCCCTCGTGCACAATGCCTGTTCCTTTAACACACTTTTCATCATTCCAGCCCCCAGGCACCAGGACCCGTGGCCCTGCCCCAGTCTGGGTTCCTAGTGTGCAAACACGAGTGGGGGAGGGCCCATGGGACCTTGTCCCCTGGTGTTGCTACTCTCTTGCTGATAAGATCACAAGTATAGCTGTGGTGATTTGAAGAATGACTGATGTGAATTACTGATGTTGATATAACTATTGGCAGGCTTCTGTTAATGATGTGTAACCCTTTGGCTGATGGCTGTGGGGATTTGAGGAGATACAGTGTAGGCCTGGGGAAGGGATTAAGGTCAGTACACGGATGCACTCCAGAGCTAGTGAGATCTAGGTGTACCATGTTTGCTATTTCCTCTGCAAGGGCCCTGCAGAGGGCATTAATTTAAATTAAAAAAGGGGGCACTGCGGGCACACAGTCTGTGGTGGTTTGGAATGAGGCTGTGGCTGAGCCTGGTCCTGAACTGACTACAGCAGTGTGGAGCAGGTGAAGGTGGTGAGATGTGGAGTGCTGGGGTGTACTGGCCATCCAGGGTGGAGGGAAGAGCACACACAGGGGTGTGGGGTGGTGGACACAAAGGTGGCAGGAAAGAACAAGAAGGTGGCTGATGCTGGAAGCCTTCGTGGGGGTCAGTCCCAGCTCCTCTGTCACGCCATGTGTGACAATCTTGATTAAAATTGTCATCATATGACAACTTTAATATGACATTTCAGATATTAAATGATGCTTTGGAAACAATTTCTTGGTCTGAAGAAATAAATTGTTGGACATAAATAAAACTACTGATTCATTAAAGTCAGGAAGAGTTTTGCTTTGGTTCTCAGATGAAGAATGTTCTATTCACACAGTTTTTGAAATGTTTTTCTCCCTACTGGTTTTCAGACTTGTGATGAGGAAGATACTGTGAAAGCTATGACAATATTTAGGCTTTCTTTGTAGTTTGCCCTTCTGAGCAACGAAAACATTGTTTTAGTTTGTGACTTCTCAGCATTTTCTCCTCCAGACCACTCTGGCTAAAGTGAGCCAGCAGACAAGGTTTCCATCTCTGTAAGAAAAGCAAAAGCAGCACATAGTTTTGCCCATCTCCTAAAGTGCTTATGCATGCAAGAGGATAAGCAGGGCACTTTGGTAACACCTGAACCCTACAGGACCTGACACTGATGTCACAATAGAGCTGGCTGCTGGTAGTGGCCAGGCCCTCTGCTTAGTGCTTAAAGCAGCCACAAGAGGAACGGGACAGCTCTAGAGGAAAGCAGTGCCAGAAAGCAGCGAGCAGGCAGGAAAGGACACTCCTATCTAACTGGGAATCTCCTGTCTGGGTTAATCAAGGTCTTGATTAGGGGAATAATTAAACCCTGCATTTATCAAGAAAATCTTACTGTGTCTGTAGGCCTTTCCTGAGACACAAGCACAAGCATAACCAAAAGGCTTATTACTCACTAAAGGCATCAAGCTGGGCATCAGTCTCCAAACAGCTTCCCCATTCTTCAGCCTGCCCTCAATGCAGAAGAACAGTTCCTAGTATGGGAAGTGCTGATAGAAGGGGACTAGAAAGAACTTGAAGGAAGGGAGAAAGAAACCTGACTAGGGGAAGGCCTGTAGGACCTCAAAGTAGAAAGAAGTGGCTACAATATTGGGCAAGTGCAGGGATTTCAGAACCTGAGTTCTGAAGGGAAGAAGTGGGAAAACAAAAATAAACCACACTTTAGCTGTTCTTATTTTGATGAATGATTCCTCTTTCCTGTATATGATCTCAAGAGGACAGGGAATTTGAAGAGCAAAACAGGTAGGAAAAGCAGCACGGGGAGACTTAGGAGAAGATGTGGGGGTTTTATTCTTCATGGGAAAAGCAGATTATGGATTCAGGGGGGTTTTGCTGTGCCAGTATCATGTAGCCTACAGCCTTTTCACATGCTCCCAAGTACTAGGGAGGGATATTGGCAGTGTTCTATGGGGTTTTAGTTGAAATTTCTCATATTGCTGTGCACTTTAACAAACTGAGTCATTATAAACTTGGTGTGTCATTAAGAAACAGAACAAAATGGCTTAATAATTTATCATGTAGGGATCTCTGAAAGATCTAGCCTCTGCTGTAACTGAAGAGGTGGCAGATGTGGCTGCCACTTGCTGGGATTGCCTTCTCTACAGCAAATAGGAATATCTCTTCTTTTAGCCTACTGTCTTTGAGTGTCTCCATCTTTTCTTATATTTACTAATATTTACTAATAACCCAAGACAAAATGTGTCATGCTAAATATATTATTTATGGTCAGCTTTTATACTGCGGTAGCTGAAGAAGTGCCAGTTGTGTCTGCCACTTGCTGGGATTGCCTTCTCTACAGCAAATAGGAATATCTCTTATTTTAGCCTACTGTCTTTGAGTGTCTCCACCTTTTCTTATATTTACTAATAACCCAAGACAAAACATGTCATGCTAAATATATTATTTATGGTCAGCTTTTATACTCCTGATCTGTAAATGACACAATAGAAATGTATCAAAACAAGACTGCTACCATGCAGCTTGCCCTGCCTATCACCAGTGCTCCACACCTGGTCAGGATGCATTGGACAAACACTTGTTATTTATGTTCCTCCCTGAATTTTATATCTTTTTTTTTATATTTTAACTGATTTTATATCAGTTTCAAACAAAAAGAACAGAAAATAAGAATCCATTACTTAAATGCTCACTTGAAACTTGATCTCATCTTTTAGGTTGAGAAAAACCCACCTTGACTCTTACCAGTGATTTTTTCAGCTTCATAGGGTTGCATTTCTTTGATTTCCTTTAATGCAATGAGTTTTTCCTGAATGGAAAAAAAAAACAAACAACCAGTTTTAGTATCACCCATTCTTTTCATCCACTGTAATTTCTAGTACAACTTTAAAATATGTTAAAACAACCCTTACATGTTACTGGTGTGACTGAAGATTGCAATATCTGATTGAACAAAGCACAAAGCCTGCAGAACTTGGGGATGCAGATTCCACACATACAGAGGCAGACTTATTTTATCATCTCCTTTTTTTGGGCAACAGAACAGTTGTCTGTTCATGTCAATATAGAATTACTGCCTATGAATATCTGGTGTTTATCATGCCTAAGTGCATGTGTGCAGTTTGCTCATCAGATATTTGGAATCAAGGGCTGAGTATTCAGAGTTATGACACCAGGCCCTCAGGGGGCAGAATGGGCACCCTGCTGGATAGATGGAATTGTCACCTGAACCAGCTCGTGGGCTGAGCGTCCCAGAGCTTCCTGGGTCATTTCATTCACTTCTAATTCTGTCGAGACTTCCCAGGTACCATTCTGGAATCTCACTGGCATAGAGAAGACAATTCCTTCAGGAATGCAAAATTGACCTGAAAAAGATGGGAAAAAGGATGCAAACATTTTATTTCTGCTTAAAGCACATCCTTACCAGTGTCAAGGTTAAGTCCTACAGACTGGAAAGAAATCTGCAGCTCTAGGTTGTTAGTACAAACAGAGACTGCTTTTTTAGTGTACAGTTCAAAGACTGAAGAGTTCCCCTTTTGCTGTAGTTTTGTATTTTAGTTAGAATTACAATTCATAGCATCACAGAATGTTTGGGTTGGAAGGGATCTCTAAAGGTCTCTAGTCCAACCCCCCTGCAGGGAGCAGGGACATCTCCAACTAGAGCAGGTTGCTCAGAGCCCTGTTCAAGCTGACCTGGAATGTTTCCAGGGATGGAGCATGGACCAGCTCTCTGGGAAACCAGTTACAGTGTTTCACCACACTCACTGTCAAAGATTCCTTCCTTATATGTGGTCTAGATCTCCCCTCTTTTAGTTTAAAACCATTACCCCTTGTCCTATTGCAACAGGCCCTGCTGATAATAAGACCTAAAAACTCTGTCCCCATCTTTCCTATAGGCCCCCTTTAACTACTGGAAGGCTGCAGTAAGGTCTTCTTGGAGCCTTCTCTTCTCCAGACTGAACAGCCCCAGCTCTCTCAGCCTGTCCTCACAGCAGAGCTGCTCCAGCCCTCTGATCACTGTGGCCCTCCCCTGGACCTGCTCCAACAGGTTCATGTCTTTCCTGTGCTGTTAGCACAATTCCTGCAACCATTTGACTTCTTAGAAAGGGGACAGGGGAATATTATTTTATACAGGGGTTAAATGGCTGTTGTGAAAATGTTCCATTTATTGGTCCACATAGCCACACAAGAACAAGCATCTTTAGGTTGGGCTCTTAAGAGCTACAAAGAGTCCTTGCACAAAACACATAGACCAGAAAAGCACACAAGCTAAAAGGCTAAGAGACAATCTGCCAAACCAAGAGTATCAAATCATAAGCTCTAGAGATCAAAATTTCTTAGATTTGGAGGTTCTTATGCTGAAACACTCTCAAATCATCATTTATTTTACAAGCTCTTATTAAATGAAAGATCTTGATTTAAGAAATGGCACTATGCATACCAAGGAAAGCTACAAGAACACGTGTGAAGCAAAAGCAGCTTTACCTTTAGTAAGTACTCCCAGGGAAACAACCTCCCCAGGAGGAGAGCCATGACACCAGTGTCTCAGGACCGTGGCTATCCCATGAGCAGGCAACATGCCCACACAGCGAGAGACCCGGGAGCTCAGTGAACACTCTGCAGACAGGAATTCTGAATGGATCCATTCACTGCCAAGAAAAAAAGGGGGAAAAAAGGAAGAAAAAAAACTATGATGACTGCAGGAAGAGTAGTTTTCTAGAGGAAAAAAAAACCCCTAAACTTCATGGAAGAAAATAGTTGAAAGTTATTCAAACTTCATTGTTGAAGGCAAGGCATTTAAAAACCTGAAAAAAAGGGTCTAACAAAAAGGGGCTCAAAAGGTAACAAGCCCTACTGATCTATGAAATTCAGGTCATTTACTCAAGTCTTAACCTCTATTATTATTTCTATGTATTATTGTTTTATGTAAAAGCCAGTCATGAATCATAATGGTCAAAAACAGTTATTTTGTTTTACTTAAAAAAAAATATATTGTCCCATACCTGTCATAGATCATACTCAACAAGGGATGTGAAAAATCAGCTGGGCCCCAAATAGCAGAGTTGTAGCCATAAAGTTTTGCATGTGACAGATCAATGTATTTACAGCCACTAATGTTGCCCCAAACAATCACATCCTTAACTCCTGTGGCAAAGGAAAATACACAGATTGATGAAGAGACAGACAAAGCCTTTCACACTGTGGGCAGGACTCGACGACCTTCACGAGTCCCCTTCAAGATCAATCATTCTTCAGTTCAGTGTCCTGCCTTGAGAGCTGGAATTATTTGATCTGAAAATGCAGTGAGGTTCTCCACAGCATGAGACACCTCATCCCGAGCTGAGAAAGGAACTTTAATTCATATCATGTTGCTGGATGTAATTGACAAAACCCAGTAAATAGCTGTGGAAAACCAAATCACACTGCAAATATAGAGAGATGTTTGTCTCAAAATCCTGTACACCAAATATAGGATGTCTAACAGTAAAGAATCATTTAAAAAACCCAAAAACCTCCCTGCTTTGGTGCAAAAGGAAATTTTGTGCAGAGCTGTGCAAACATAACCAATCTATGACCCAGGAAAAACACTACAAGACAGCTTACTCCACTCCCCTGACTGCACAGCAGAACGTTGTCAGTTTATCCACGGCCAGTTCGCATGTCTCCAGAGCAAGGACATGCTGCAGAGTGCGAATGCAACCCTGAGCTCCCAGCCCCTGACCCACAGCCCAGCCCTGCGGGCGCCATCCAGCGGGCAGCTGCTGGCCCGCACACGGCTCCACCCCGCTCTGCGGGAACAGGGGCTCTCAAGGCGCCCACCCCCGAGCCCCCCGCGCTGCCAGAACACGGCATCACTCACCTGCTGCGTCCACCCTGAGCTTCCTGGCCAGCGTGGCTTTCGCTGCGCTTTCCCAGGGTGTGGCAATGGCAACGACGTTCTCCGGCTTAATGGAGGGGCCGTAGGTGATAATCATCATCGCCTTGAGGTTGACAAAGGTTCTTCCCGAGGAGATGACCCTGACCTCGCTCCCGGCGTTCTTCTCCATGAGGGCGGCGTACAGCCGGCAGCTCTCACTCAGCTCTCTGAGGGAGCTCCCCAGGGACTGGGCTTCACGCTTCAGGGGGACATCGTCAAGAACAATGACAACGTCGGCTTGAAGGAACGCCCCAGGCGTTTCAGTGTGCTCTGTGACACTGTGGAGCAGGGGAGACGCCAGGTCTGCAGCTTCCATCGCAATGCCACAAAGCACCTCCTTAAACTGCTCAGCGTCAAGCAAGTGGAGGCTGATTTTGGTGGTCATCCCAAACACCTCTCCAGTGAGCAGCAGAGGGATCAGGTGGTAACAGATGGGAGCTGATGCACTGAGAAGAGGAGGAGGGAGAAAAATTAGGGTTGAGAGCTAACCACTGCTTGCTTGTAAGTATTACAGAAAGAAACACAAAGACCTTCCTTCTGTATTTATGATTGATTATGTTTAAACAGACCATTAGCTTGGATCCTTTATTGTTCTGTCATTTCAACAATTAAAAATTAAAACAGTTGGGTCCTCCTTTCACTTGAAGCTTTCTCATCCTATACATTTCCCTCAATACTGTCACTTAAAAATTGGTATCTTTGAAAACAACACCATTTTTTTAGGTGTTCTGTTAGGACTACCAGAAATGCCTAAAGCTAGAACTGCAAGAGACTCTTTACTTATTTAAATATTTCCAAAAGCATGTAATGCAAGAACATAACACTACAAAATTCCCAGCTTATCTGGTAAGTACTTGCTTTTCCCTAAGGTGATCTGGGGTCTAAATATTGCCTGTTCCCATCCTTCACTTAAACTGGTGCAAAACATAAGAAAAGTAGAAATAATTTCTAAATTATACACTGACTGCTCGTCATGAGGGGCACAGAACTGAATTCAAAGCAGCAAATGACAGGGATTTGGCTGTAACTTCAGATGGTTACCCCTGTTATATGTGATAGGAAAAAGGGCATTCTCCTGAACCTGACTGAAACTTCAGAGATACTCTTCTTATCCTCACCTGGTGATCCAGACCTGCAAAGGCTTGATGAAACTTTTACTCTCTTCCTCCTCTTTTTCAGCTTCAATGTGTGCCTGCAGGTTCTCCTCAGCAATGTCTGACATTTCCTCAGTCAGCATCGTTGAGGTGATGCCATAATAGTGCTAGGAACAACAAGGATGCTCTCTCATCAGATGGCAGCCCTCACACAGCAAGAGAACCTTAGAAAGGGTGGCTTCAGTTTACATTTGAAGGAGCAATAAAGAGCAACAATGTCATAAGAAAATGTAAAATAGGAGTTTACTAGAGGCAGCTCGTTACCTGAGCATAATTGAGAAATTCATTCACTCCTCCCAGAAGCAGACCCTTCCCTCCATGGTCCAGCAGCTCTCTCCAGATGATAGGAGACTCTCTGTGTTCCCATCCATTCCTCTCACAAACGTCACGGAGCCACTGCTAACATAAGCATCCCCTCCAAAAGGTTGTTATACTTGGTCACACTGGATAACACTTAAATGGTACAGCTATCAACATCCTCACTGTTTCAACAGATGATCACAAGGTGCTTGCACAGCTTACCTCTCAGGGTGCACAAAATGGGGGTAACAGAAGGGGAGGCACAGGGGTGCACTGTGATACCTCACCATGAGGACTAAAGGTCCCACTTCTGCTTCATTTTACTGCTGTAACTTGGCTCAGCTCTCTCAGTGGTACTGAAGACAGCAGTGTTGTGAAGCAGGGAGTGCTCTGAGAGTCCCTGTTTAGCTGCAGAAAGTAAGTAAGCTGCAGATAATAGCAGCTGTTAATTGCTGTTCATCTTAACTGTCCAAATTACCTGGCTGAGGTGTCAAGCAAAATGTAAGAGATAATAAACATCATAGTACCATCTATCTGATGAAACAATACTGCAGGGTTTTCAGTTCCTTATAAGGATTCCAGTGTAGACAGAGCAACATGTCTTCAGCAAATGTACTAAGAAAGGCCCAACCAAGTCACAAACTAATACATGGAATTTAATTTCATACTTCCACTGCAGTTCAAACCCCAGACTGACAGAAATGCTCTTGACAAGTAAATGCTCTTGACAAGCACTGAGGATCTACCAACAACTGGATTTACAGTCCCTTACCTCCCATTTGTCAGGGTGCTGAGTGATCTTGTGAACCCTGAAGTGTGGCAAGTTAACCTGGAGATAGTCAGCCAGGAGTTCAGCTTGGGCATAGTGTGGGCAGTCTGCCCTACCTGTGAACACAGTGACAACACACAAATGAAAGATCTTGTGACACTGACTGATAGGGGATTAATAGGCCAAATGTCTTTTAGTTATTGCAATTAAAAAACAGTCTTAGGTAACCAGAAGCCTGTGAGTTCCTAGAAATCAACAAGTCAATCCTATGAGCCAGCAACACAAGGATAATTTTGGAGGTGAATCAGTCTCTTCACCCAGTACTTAAGGAGCTGAGGCAATGTGGTGGGCTAACTGTGGCTGAGCACCACGTGCCCACCAAGGTGCTCTATCACACACCCTCTGTCCCCTCCCTCCTCCACAAAGCGGAAGGGAGAAGGAAAACAAGATGGAAACATAACCCTTGTGGGCAAAAACAAAGGCAGTTTAATGAGAAATAAAGCAAAGCCAAGCTATTCCACACGCAGAAGTGAGGGAAAAACCCAAAGACTTATTCTCTGCTTCCCATCAACAGGCAATGTCTGGCCCCTTCCTGGGAAGCAGGGCTCCAAGACACGTGGTGGTTGCTCCAGAGGACAAAGGAGTGGTCCTCCCCTTCTCCTTTTTGCTAGCTTTATAGCTGAGCAGACACCATGTGTTATGGAATATCCCTTTGGTCAGTTCAGGTCAGCCCCCCTGGTTATGTCCCCCCCCAAGCTCCTGCCCACCCCATCCC